GGACATGGCCTTCAGCTTCCTGCCTCACCTGTTGAACATGGCCTTGGGCTTCCTGTTGAGAATGCTGCGCAGCTTGTTCAGCTAATGCGGTCTGAGCACGGGCTCGTTCGACTGCTTGCTGGGCTTGGTATGTCAGTTCCGTTGCCTGTTGTCTAAAGGTCTGCTCCCTTTGTTGCGCAACAGCAGCAACCTCCCCTAGCCTTTGTCTGGCCTCGTCCGCGGCTCGATGCTCGTGAAGGGCAACGTTGGCAGCCTGATCAGCAATGAGCTAAGCTTGGCGCGCACGTTGCAACGCCGATCCGGCCACAAACGCGGCACTCATGTTCCTAGATGGGTCGGGTGCTGGCACTTGTGGGCTATACACAAGGGGGTTGCAGTAGAGTCTGAATCAGGTTCCTCTACAATGGGAGTCCTACGGGGAGGAGTCGCGTTGCGATCGCGGCTACGAACATCTCTTGATGAGGATGCCCTGGAACCTACGGGAACTTCGGATATTGCGGGTACCGAAACATCACCTAGTTCAGGGTCTTCCTCATTAGATTCTCCCCCAGGGGTTGATCTTGACCTATCATCCGAAGGTGGGGACATCCCTGATCCCTGACGCCATGTCGGATGCACCTTTCACACAAGGCCAGGCTCGCGTATGCTGACACACCGCGCTTCAAGCTGCGGCCTGGGAAACTTTATATTACAACCGGTGTCGGAAACCGGTGCACTTGACCGCTGCGCTTGAGCTGCAGCCTCCGGCACTGACAGGTCACCGAAAAAGTCCGCGGCCGCCCCTTGCCCTTGCAGAGTGGGGGCGGTTCCCAACTTCCTCGAGGTACTCTGCTTGGTCGAGTACCCTGGCAGGACGAAGCAGGCGTCGGTGCTGGTTGAGGACTCGTGGAGCTTGTCCAACGCCTCATAGAGCGCCCGATTGGCGTCTCGTCGCCCGACACCGCTGTTCAGGGCGCCTGCGGCGCAACACTCCTTGAGGACGGCGTTGTTGTCGTGAACGATCACACACGCCCCCAGCTGCGCTAAAGCTGCAGCCTTGCCGGATTGCCCAACTCGTTTCCAAGTCAGGACAACTTCCCCAAATGGAGGTGTGCCCAAGCTGTCAATGGCGTTGTTGCACACGTTGGAGAATTGGCCGGCAAAACGGCCCGAGTGCCTCGGGACTGGCAGTTGCTGACGACGCGGAACTCGATGGGGTAGTGGCTGCGGTACAACTTGGAGAATACCTTGAGCAGCCACTCTTTTGGAGCCCCGTCAGCCTTGACCAAGATGTCGAGGGTGTTGTGCCAGTCCAGGCAAACCACAATGGGTTGCCTCGCCTCTAGATCTGGTTGAGGCGCACCGAACTGTGCCCCGTCGCCGGAGGCAGAGCCTTGTGCTGCTGCAGTTGCCTCACCTGTGGTGGTGGTGAGGGTGGAGCCCGCTTGTAGGCTTTGGGCGGCGTCTCGGGCCGTTTTACCCCGCTGATCGATCTTGGGACCGATGCTGCGCGTTGAGCTGCAGCCCTAGGCACTGTGCTGGGGGTGCAGGTGGTGCTCGTAGCGGCGGTGGGGTACGGCCTTCGACGCAGCGCGATCCGCAGCTGCCTGGTCGAGTACGCTCTGTGGGGGCGCCTTGACCTTGCTTTCCCGCTTGGCAAAAACCACTCGGGCGGATTTTGTTGCGGGTGGATGAGTCGCGTCCGGCAGGTGCAGGTCGTTTGATGCTTACCTGCTCAGCTTCGGTCGTTTGATGCTTACCTGCTCAGCTTCGTACACCCTGTCCGGGTTGAAGGCCGCCAGACCTGAGTACACAGCGCGCGCTGACCTTTGAGGAGGTGGTGATGCGCTCAGGTTGTAGTAGTCGGCCCTCCCGTCACCTCGTTGGGGAGGGTTGGATGAGGACTCCGCTCTCGGCGGACGATGCCAGTAGGAATCCGGCAGGTTGCACGGGTCGTGTAAGGGCGGTGGATGCGGCGCCCGATGTGTTGGTCTCGGCGCCCTCGTACCGGTGCTGCAGGATCCAGATCCCTGCGCTGCCCACCCGGGTTGTAGGGTAGGCGCAGTTGGCCGGCGCAAGAATCAGCGGCCGGCTGCTCAGGGATGCACGGGCCGGAGGTGTCGAAGAGCTGGAGCTTCTGGCCCTCGACCTCGCTGCGCTTCGAGCCGCAGCCCTGAGGGGAGTTCTGGATCTTTGGCGTCGGGATGACGCCTTCGCTGTCAGTGCGAGGGAAGGCTGGACGGGCTCTCAGTTGAAGCTCTGGATGGAGCCGCTGCGCTTGGAGCTGCAGCCTGATCTCCCGGCCCGGTTGCTGTCTGTGTCACCGCTGCGCTTGGAGCTGCAGCCTTGGTGATGGTGGACACAGTTGTTGTGCAGGACGGACTTGATGGGGTGCTTGGTTGTTGTGGCTGAGCTGGGGCAACAACCTGTCCTGCCGCGCCTTGAGCTGCGGCCTGCGCCCGTTGCAGGATTGGTGGCTGTCGGTGGCGGCCCAGGGCAATGGCGGCGTCGCACAGGTCCGGGTACGCGTCCCTGAGGTGCCTGTAGCTGCCGTCAGTGAAGTCGGCGTGCCACGCCAGGAGGGAGCTCCGGTGCAAGTCCGAAGCGTCCTCCCAGGCGACACGCTCGACTCCAATGGCGAACTGCTGCCTTGCCCAACGGGTGAGGGAGTCGAAGGCCTCGTAGTAGAGCTTCCTCCGGTGCGTCCACCCACCACATTGCCCTCTGGCCGAAAAGGCCGGAGCCGGGTTCATGCACGAGGTGCACTAACTTACCCGACCGAGGGGGCCTAATCCCAAAAGCAGTTACGGCTGATAACCACTCAACAGCCAAAGAAACACAGCGAACCAGAAACCGAGATACCCTTATTAACCCCAGTCCGGTAAGCGAGCGCAAACCCTGTTTTACTGATGGGCATTGGTTACTTGAGCCAAACGGTCATTGCCGTTCAACATGAGTTCATGCAGTCAACGGGGCCTCCAACATCACATGCATGCACACCCTTCTGGGGTACCTCTTTGGGGGTCAAGGGGTCGTGATTATTCAACTAACAAAGACCACAGCTCGGTTGCTTTCTGCTCCCCTGCAAAAAAAAGACACCTTTGAAATTTTAGTAGTTTGATGGAAAGCCCATTCGTTGGCAAAGACTTCAAGTCCTAACATCCCTTGGCAAAATGCACCAAAGACAGCGCATCCGACGCATCGCGTCGCGCCTCGGGAGAGCACCTGGAAGCCCTCCCGCGACATGGGCGGGGGTGGGGGCGGGGGCGCCGCCTCCGGGCCGTCCCCCGGCGGGGGCGGCGGCGGCGCGTCGCCTGCTCTCACGTGAAGGTCGGTCGGCCAAGGTTTCTTTCGGCGGTTTGAAGGGCAGTCAAAGGGAAACCAAAACGAAACCCAACAAACACCACCTAAAAAAATGGAGATGGTCGAGTTTTGAGGGGTGCAAGCTTTGGAGGTTGCCAGTTTGGTGAGGGGAGCTTGTAAGATAAGTTTGGCTGAGGCTAAATGGGTAAACTTTTTTGAGGGTGACGGGCAAAGGGTCTCTTGCGGGTGGATTCCCTATTCTCGTCATCCCCCCCCGTTCTCAAGGGGTATCCTTGAAGAGAATGGCAATGGGGAATGTACAGCTGGATCAATCTCATCTTAAACATTAGTCGATTGAATTTGTGATTTCGGCATTTGAATCCCTAGTTTTTTGGCGGAAAGCCTCCCAAACGCACAAATCAACCGCTCCAAAATGGAAAGACGGGTGCCACTGAATCCCTAGACATGTTCTAGAGGGAGTATGTCTGCATCCTCCGGTTGACAAGCTTTTCGATTCTCGCGGATTAAAAAGAGGCGTTTCCTCCAGAAATATCGATTCCCTCTGTTTATCCTGGATCAGCATCAGTTGGGCAAGGTTCTTCTTTGCAGCGGTTGGTTGGTCCTTGTTGATTCCGATGAATGTGCAAATTCGCTGGGGTCAAAATAGGTACCCAAAAAGGCTGCCCCTGGTAAATGTAGAAAAGGGCTACAACCTGCAATTCTTGGGTGATTTAAGTTTGACCCATACCCACATGGTAGAAAACTAAAACTGAACCCTAGACCCAGGACAGATCAGTCCAATGTTTGAGCAAGGCAAGAAGAAATACTTGGGGCAAGACATTGGTTTGCAGAACTATGTCAAAAGGAATCGTCGTTCACCACCTCAGATGCATGAACCATACAGATATTTGGATAAACCACCCTCAACCACCTACCAATTCCTGCAACATCTTGCCCATTCTCACATTCGCAGGACTAAGTGCACTCTCTCTTTTCTTCTCATTGAACTGATCACTTCTTCTGTTAGCAAGCGCCACACCTGGTGACAGTGCCAACTGAAACCAATGGTGGTTCCCCGTTGGTTGCCCGTTGGCTTCCCTTGAAACACCTGCTGGACAGTTGGGCTAAACGTAGCGGCCGGCATCAGATCCAAACTCAAAACAACGAATCGTCTGCAGGCGGAGTGTGTGACATGGTTGGAACGGGGCCGGTGTCCAAAACAAGCCTGAAAACCAGCCCGCCGCATTTGAAAGCTAAGCTGAAACAGAGGAGAGAGAAAGAGAGAGAGAGGAAGTGAGCGAGAGAGAGAGAGAGAAATAAGAAAGAAAGAAAGAAAAAAAGGAAAGAAAAGAAAAGAAAGGAAAAGAAAAAAAGAAAGAAAGAAAGACATACGCAATGAGAGAAAAACGCATGCGTCTTTGCCACGCGGGTTGAACTTCGCAACGGTCTTGAAACACGAAAGAAATTCGGGGTGTCCAAAGATTACAGTGCTTTGGACCACAATCCCACCTGCTTTCGGAGGACGGTCGGGGGCCAGTCCCGCTATTTGCACGCCTGTGGGCTTTGCAGGCCGACATGTGCTTTAGTGAGCTACTTTGGGCAACAGCTCCGCGGAAGCAAGAACGACCCGCTCTCTGCTGGGGTATCCCTAGCAAGAGATTGGGAAGGATCGACGGAGCGGCTCTGACACAGCCCTTGCGGCACGCGGCAAGCCCGGCCTAGCCCTGGCGAAAGTGGCCTGGCGCAGGGTCACTTGATGTCAGGGGCCGCGAACAAAGGAACATGAACTCTTGCGTATATCTGGGGACGTGCTGGTGTCTAAAGAGAAATGAGACATGGCCGCCAAGAGGAAAGGGCTTGAACAGTTTTTCGGGCAAAACTTAACTATGAAGCCGCCTCTTCTGTACGAGCAAAGTGCGTTGTTCTGAGCGCCCAAATTCTGCTCACATTTTGGCTAGATTCTGGGCTTGCAATTGCAATATTCACAAGCAAACCAGTGACCTGCAACAAATCCCACACACTACATAATACGGAGCAGAACTGTTTCTCTTGGTAGGCGTTTCTCAGAGGCCCCAGGTTCCCCGTGAACCAACTCCGAACAAACTCCGAACAAACTCCGAGCAAACTCCGGACAAACTCCGAACGCACTTTGTCATTTGTTGATTTCCGAACAAACCCCCGAGCCAACTCCGAACACACTTTGGCCATAAGTATGTGTTTGAGGCTAAGTATTTTGATGGTCAAACTGTTTTTTGCTTTTTTCGGGCTTACCAAAAGAGGCCAAGTGACTACAGGGGCCAGTTTCAACCTGGGAAGGCGTTCAGGGCCGGATTTGTAGGACTTGAGAGCTGCGGAATCGGTACCGGGGTGATCACGCAGCTTGTTTCACCGTTGTTGAACTTAAGGGTTTGTTCGCTTTTCTGTAAGGGCTTGCCCGATTTTGGTCGTATGAAATAGCTGTTTTTTGCATGAAAAACCTGGATTAAGCATGTTTGAATGTTTTTTGCCCTGGTAACACTGAATTTGTACGAAAACGCATCAACAAGCTGTAATTCCTTGTACGACCAAAACCCAAAAAGTTCAACACCAAAAAAAGAAATAATCAAAAAACAACTCAAGGCCAAAGTTCGTTTGGAGTTCGTCCGGAGTTCGTGCAGGGCAAGAATTAAGCCCCGAAAAAAAGAAAAAGAAAAAAACAAGCAAACATCACAGCCTGGCGGGTTCGGCTCCCCCAAAGAAACATATGGCCAAAGTTTGTTTGGCGCGTGCCCAAGCAAATCCAGCCCGAAAGATACACAACAGGAAATTCAAGTTAATGGAACTAATTTCAACAAGTGGCCTCAAAAAAACACCTTAGGCCACTTGTTGAAACTGGCCCTGCAATCACTTGGCCTCTTTTGGAAAGGCCGAAAAAAAAGCAAAACAAAAAACGGCTTGGCCACCAAACTACTTAGGCTCAAACACATACTTATGGCCAGAGTGTGTTCGGAGTTGGCTCGGGAACAATGCCAAAGTTCGCTCGGATCTTGTTCGCTTGTTCGGAGTTCGCCCGGAGTTCGTTCGGAGTTCGTTCGGAATCGTTCGGAGTTCGTTCGGAGTTCGTTCGGAGTTTGCTCGGAGTTCGGTCGGAGTGCGTTCGGAGTTCGTTCGGAGTTCGTTCGGAGTTCATTTGGAGTTCGCTCGAAGTTTTTTCAGAGTTCGTTCGGAGTTTGTTCGGAGTTCGTTCGG